AGCTGTGAGGCCCCCCCACAAGGAGCAGCGTCTTGCAGCACAGCTGACAGCATCCCGGGAATGGCTCCAGCTCCCCAGGCCGGCGTGCTGCCTGCCGGCCATTCCTCCTCCCAGCCTGACGAGCAGTCGCTCTGTGCCCCTGCCACCCCGCTGCTCCCCCAGCACCCCCTGCCCTGCTGCTGCAGGGTCCCCGGGGTCTGTGGGGACTCCTGGGGCCAAGTTAGGCTGTGGCTCACCTTGTGGCGATGGGTGCCATGCTGCTGTTTGCCAGCTCGGCGTCGGGCAGCAGAGCAGCTCCTGTGCACAGGGAGGGTGGTGGTGCCTTGCCCATCTCCCCCTGCACCGGCTGCTCCCAGCTCGGGGGGCCAGCCACAGCTTTGTGGTGCTCATCCCCCTCTGATGGGGTGCGGAGGTGCTGCGGGGTTTGGGAGCTGGCGGGCAGCTGGGTCCCGCACGTGGCAAGGGCTGCTGCGCTGCTGGCGAGCCCTCCGGCTCCGCAGGGTTGGGCTCTGTGTCCTGGGCTCCTGCAGGTGCCCCTGCTCAGCTGCTCCCCAGGTCAGTCTGGTTTCAAGCAGAGAGCACTGGTGAGTGTTCCTGTGAGGTCCCCAGGAGCAGTGTCGGGCTCCTGCGTGCCCCTCCGGACCCCTGACGCCGCAGTGCCCCTCCTGCCCTGCCCCTGGGAGCCAGCTTTGGTGCAGAGGCCAGGAGCAGCCCCTGCCCCAGTGACGGCCCCCAGCACCCAGTGAGGGCAGGGCTGCCCCATCTGCCTGCAACACCTTCCCGGAGGGATGCTGGCGAGGGCTCGAGGCACCCAGAGATGTGGCACCTCGGTGACTGCGGGTAAGACAATCTCCTCGCCTGCCCCGGCACTGCAGGGAAGCACCAGTGACCTGGCCTTCCCCGAACCACTCTCCCACGGGACAGCGGCCGGAATGCCCCTTTCACCTCCGCCCCCCACTGCCCAGAGACCCCCACGGCTGTGCCAGGGTGGTCGTGCAGGCTGGGCGGCACTGGTGGGTGCAGGCGCCTGGCACAGGCAGGCACGTGTTGGCTCAGCTGCCTGGCGTGCCGAGTCACGCTCTGCGCACCGCAGCCCTGGCCCGCACATGCCATGAGCTGGCAGCTCTCCCTCAGCTTTCCTTCATCCTCTCCTTCCTGCAGGCACCCAGGGGGAAACTGCTCTCTCTGCTCTGCCAGCTCCCACTCTCGCACGGCAATGGGCCCCTGGGTCCCCCTTCGTGCACCCCGAGCCCGGCTGTGCCCCAGGGCTGTGCCGGGAGCACCTTCATCAGCCATGACCCCAACGCAGGCAATTTTTCTGCCCCTAAAAAAAGGCAGGAGTTTCCCTTCCATAGCGATGTGTGCTGGGCTGGCCAGGACATCTCTAGGGCACGTGCACCCCACGGGGCTGTCAGCGCCGGGAAAGGCAGCACTGGCCCCATGCAGGGGTGCTGGGGGGGCTTTGCTGCACCTGGTCCCTGCATTTCCACTTCCTCCCGCATCCCTGTCCTCGGGTGCAAGCCAGGCTTGTTTTATGGAGCCCGGTCCCTGCTGCAGATGGGGGCAGTGGGACTGGGAGCGGAGAAGCCCGTGCCTCCATCGACTGAGAAGCCACATTCCTGGGGATGAGGTAGGTTTCG